CCCCCAGAGTGCCTGGCTCCCAGTCTTCCTGATTTACCCTCCCTCATCCAGAATCTAAAGAAAAATGGGGCTTCACTTCGTAGCCATCCCCCTGCAGACTGCAGCACGGGGCTATTGCAGAGGAGGTGCTGGGTAAACATTTGTTGAAATTTGAGTCATGAATAAATGAACAGACAAGAACCCCTGGAAGGCACCTCTCTACCAACCAGCAGAGCTGCTCTGCCGGTCTCTCCTTTGGGTTAAAAATTCCCATTAATACAACGAAGGTCTATCAACACAGCCTGTCAAGGGTTCCTTCAATCAGAAAAGGAAGGACAAGCTGGCAGGGGTGGGGGTATAGACCAGAACCAGCAACGTCCTTTCCTCCTAAGATACAAGTACTAGCTAGGGACATCAATCAAGGATATCCAGTCAACTGCTGAGTAGAGGCCATTTCCTCAAAAATGCATGCCACCTGGCTGGGCAGTGGTGACACACATCTTTAATCCCAGCACTTGGGAGGCAGAAGCAGGACGATCCCTGTGAGTTTGAGGCCAGCCTGGTCTACAAAGTGAGTTCCAAGGCAGCCAAGGCTACAGAGAAACCTATCTAGAAAAACGAAAACAGAAGGCATGCCACTTATAACCCCTGCACTAGAGAGGCAGACGAAGAAGGATCAGAAGTCCGAGGCCAGCCTCAACTACATAGTGAGTTTCAGGGTATCCTGGGCTACGTGAGACCCTGTTTCAAAAGAAAAATGAAATGCATGTCACCTAGGAAAGGGAAAGGCATTCACTGTCCATTCTGGACCAAGAAAGAGGCCAAATTAAACTCCCCACTCTGACTTTGCCAAATCCTTCTAGAAATGGCCCAGATACCATACCCCATAACTCCTGTCAAGAACTTACTTCCTTAGAGGAGAACTGCTAAATACTGAGAGGTGCTGTCGATGGTGTGATGGTGTGTGTGACATGTGTGAACCTGGCGGGGGGAGCACCTGCAGCTTGAGCATCCTGGTATCAAACCATTAGCACCTCCTAACCCAGCAATTCGCAGCCTTTGCTGTGCATGAAAATCACCTAGAGGAGCTTGTTCGGACATATCTGGCACTGCACACACCTATTCTGGGTCAGTGGCTATGAGGTGGGGCCCTGGAATCTGCATTATTCATAGACATCCACCAAGGCAGGACAGACAGCCCAGACATCCTTTGTGGAGACTATCTCATTGGTATAAGGTGTTTGAGAGAGTCTATGGGGGAAACGCAGACTTACTCACTAAACCTTGCCAGCAGCCTATTCTGCTGTGGAACTGCCCACCCCATTGACATGATTGATTAGGCTTGGACATATCCAGCTGCTTAAAGATCCCCACCCACCCCCCACCAGCTGGCACTCATCACTGGAGAGAACATTCATTTCTCAACAGGTTTCCTGTCTGTCCTCACCTGGTCCAGGCAACAGACAGAGAAGCTGACTGCATTCACCCAGTAGAGAAACTGAGGCAGGCACTGAAGTTTGCACCGAGGAGACACAGCAGGAGAGTCTACTACCAGCCAGGGAGTATGCTAGGCATCTCTGCCCAGATGCCCTTTACTCAGACTGAAGCAACTCACAAGGAGTCAAACCAGAGGTGGGGGGTGGGGGGAGACAGGAGCTTTAATTGAGCTTCGTCTAAGTCCTAACCCATGGTCTTTTCAGAAACTGGGCCTCTCTCCTGATGACACCACCTCAACACTTCCCCTTCGTGGGCCCCACCCCATGTCAGCAGAGCTCACTGATGCTAAAATTCAGACTCAGAGTGGATCTCCATTCTGCAAACTGCCAGAGCCTGGCCCACACACCACGTTTCTTCAATGGGTATCTTAGGCTTCCCTGGCTCACTGCTTTGTAAGGTGGGACCCCCTTCTCCCACGTCTTCTAGACTTTTCTCAAAACCTAGCTTCTATGGGGCCAAGCACTGTGAGCTGCTCTTCCAGAAAGCCCCTTCCCCAAAAAGCCAAGAAGCCAGGGGGAACTAATCAGCCCCTCCCCCATCCCAATCTCCCCAGGAGCCCACAGGCTTTCCTGTGTCCAGTGTCACTTGCGAGCCCCTTGCCCACCTGAAGCCTCACTTTCCCTGTCTGCAAGATGGCGCTCACCCTTCCTTGTTCCTCACGGAAGGAATTGTGGAGACTGCTGTGCTGCTCTATTCTGATACCCCTGTCACCGCACAGTCATTTCATGATGCAGCCACCTCTGGCATAGAGAGAGTCACAGTGGAAGTGCCTGGGGAAAGGACTAAGCCCCTTTAGTCATCCTAGAATGACAGCCCTACCGAGATCAGGTGCCTCTGTCGCTCCTTAGACTCTCAAGAAGGCTGAGTAGGCTCTCCCAGCACCCAGACTGCCAGGCCAGTTCACTGCCCTGTAATCCCTGAAGCTCGGCCCCTACGCCCCATCCCGACTCCATCTGGCTGTCCCCACCCAAGAAGCCTTGTGAGGATCCTAGAGCTCAAGGTTTTACCTGTGCAGCCATCCCAGCTCTGTAGGGGTGAGGAAGGAGCAGGGGAAGGGAGAATGGAAACATTAAAAAAAGAAAAGGCTGCATTGTTTGAGAAGGGGTCTTGCTGTATTGCCCTGACTGGTCTGGAAGTCACTGTGTAGACCAGGCTGCCCTCAAGCATGTGGCAATCCTCCTGCCTTTGTTTCCTGAGTGCTGAAATGAAAGGTCTTTGCCACTATACCCAGTCCTCAGTTCGATCTTAATTGCAGATCTCAGCAACCAGCAGTCACCCGGCACTATTCTCTGTGTCTGGGCCTCAATTTCCTTAACTGCAAAATGGGAACAAGAACCTCTGGCTCCATGCTGGACAGTAAAAGAATCAGTGAAATGATGACTGGGGCATGTGACAAAGTAGGACTTGTTCCAAAGACAGGTGGTCACTCAAGCACAAAAGCCAGGTCCAGAGGAGTAGGCTGCAATCCAATATCCAAGAGGCTGAAGCAGGCAATCAGAAGTTAAAGGTCAGCCTGGACTAAAGTAAGTCCAAGGCTAGCACAAGCAACACAGTGAGACCTTGTCTCAAAATAAGAGCTACAAAGAGGACTAGGTACAAATTCAAAACCAAAACCAACCCCAGACAGAAAGAGTTCAAGGCCTACTGGGCAACTTACAGAAACCCTGTCTCAAAAACTAATGAGGGCTGGGGGTGTGGCTCAGTGGTAGAGTGTGCCTAGCATGTGTGAGACCCTATGTTCAATTCCACAATACCACAATACCACAAAGAAAAAAAGAAAAATGAAAAGATGGTGGAAGAAACCACATAATATTCCATCATTTTTTACCAATGAGTCTAGTCTCTTAAAGGGAAAAAGAAAAAAAGATGGCCTTGTAAAGTCCTTCATACCAGTCATCTTCTGTGCTATTGCTGTGAAATTGGAATTAGTCCCATTTCACAGATGAGGAAACTGAGATTCAGGGGCTCAAATGACCCTGCCAGAATGATGCAACTAAAAGCAACAGTGGAGGTCCTCTCCTTTCTTATCTCTGGTCCTCACCTTGCATAGGGTTCATGACTCAATAGAGAAGTGGTTCTCAACCTTCCTAATACTATGACCCTTTAATATAGTTCCTCATGTTGTGGTGACCCCCAGACATAAAAAAAATATTTTCATTGCTATTTCATGACTGTAATTTTGCTACTGTTGTGAACTGTAATATAAATAATCTTATTTTCCGATGGTCTTAGGTGACCCCTATAAAAGTCGTTGGATTCCCCCTCCCTCCAGGGGGGGCGCGACCCACAGGTTGAGAACCTCTGTAATATAGTGACACAAGCAAAAATGATAAGCTTCTCCTACACGTCAGTAAAAACCAGAGTAAACAGGATTCCATCCACGCCAGGCCAGGGCTTACTGGAGACGCACCTGTGCAAGCAGCAGCCTGTCCCAGCACAGCTGTTCCCAGAAAGCCTGCAAGGATTTGTTCAGTTGCCTGGCCAGGGGGCCACTCATAGCCCAGAGGTGTCTACCCTGACCCGCTTCCCTCTCCCAGTCCTGACCATGCCCTGGTCTAAGTCCTCACCCAGCCTGTCCCTGTGAGTCTTTCAAACCACTCAGGGGCTGAATGAGGAGCCTGGCCCAGGTCACAGAAGCTCCCGTTTGCGTGTGACCTGAGAGGAAGTGAGCAAACTGTCCCAGCAGTGACCTGGTACAGCATAGGGTGCACATGTCATGCATGTAAACAGCCTGTTCCTATTTTCCTGGGAGGGTAATCCTGTGGGCTGTCCAACTGTCTCTGCACAGGAGGGGGATTTTTGAGGAGTTCATGTCCACAACCCTAAATGGCTTCTTTGGCTATGGGTTCTGTTAGTTGAGCACAATAGGGAAGACTGTGTCCTGGGCATCCTTGAGAACATGTGTTTCTTGGGTGTATGTGCCTGCTGGGGAGGTGCACATGCCACCACTGCATGTGTCTGTAGCATGTAACTCCAACGGGTGACCATTTCCACGAGTGTCACTACGCACGTTTGTGTGTGTTTGCAATGCCCCCACACACCTGCACATGTCCCGCAAGAGTGAACGCAACCCCCCTCCCCGCAACACGGGAGAAAGACTGGCACCCGGTCCTGGCCTGCGAGTGTTAAGTGAGGAAAGGCTGCGAACGGCCCTGCGCGTCTCCCGCGTGTGTGTGCGCGCCGTGTGTGCGAGAGTGAGTGGCTGCTCTCCTGGCTCGCTCGCTCGCTCGCTCGCTCGCTCCCTCGCTCTCTCTGCGCCCGCCAGCCCGCCCGCCCGCGCGCGCAGCCCGCACACTCACCGCTTGGATGCTGCCGGGTGACGCGGCCGGGGCCCGCCCCCTGCTGCCAGCCCCACACGCACTCGCACCAGCCGCCGCCAAGCAGGCAGCAACCGCGTCAGGGCCGTCCGGGGGCCACGCCGGCGATGCCCGCAGCCCCCGCCGAGCCCCGCGGGACCCGCTGAGTTGCCCCCGGGCCAGGGTCACACCGGGCCGGGCCGGGCCGCGCGCGGCGGCGCTGCCTGCATGACCCTCCGGCGGCGCGGGGAGAAGGCGACCATCAGCATCCAGGAGCATATGGCCAGCGACGTGTGCCCCGGGCCAATCCGGACCATCAAGCCGATCTCCGATTACTTCCCCCGCTTCCCGAGGGGCCTGCCCCCCACCGCTGCACCGCGCGCTCCCGCGCCCCCGGACGCTCCCGCGCGCCCACCCGCAGCCAGCGCCGGCCCCCGCAGCCCCTCCGACGGCGGCCGCGGCGACGACGACGAGGATGTGGACCAGCTCTTCGGAGCCTACGGTGCCAGCCCGAGCCCCAGCCCCGGCCCCAGCCCCTCGAGGCCGCCCGCCAAACCCCCTGAGGACGAGCCGGACGCCGACGGCTATGAGTCGGACGACTGCAGTAAGTTTCCCAGTCTCCCGCCGCGCGCCCCCTCCCCGCGCGGGGTCCCCGTAGGGCATGCGCCGCGGCCGCCCGGCACACAGGCACACAATGGCTGGGGAGTTTGAGGGCGTCCTCTGGGGGAGCCCCGTTTCCGGGCCTCCGCTCCCCTGAGCGCGCCCCGCACCCCTTCCCGGCCAGGAGCTCCAGCGCGGGCGGTGGCTTTTGTTCCCGGGCAGGGCGGAGCTGCGCCCCGGGAAGACACCAGTTGCTGCGGGCCGCGCGGTGGCTCCCGGCCCCAGAGCCCTCTACGAGCCTCCGGGAGTGGCTACCGGGCGAGCCGGGGACCTTGTGGCGGCTAGGGCGGGCCCGGCGGCCCGCAGCGCGCCGCAGCTTTGCTCGTGCGCGGTCCGCTTGTCCTTTGGAAAAACCTTGGCGGTTTTTCCTCCAGCGTCAGCGAACCCCACCGCGGCGCTGGCCCTGGCCGAGGACCTTTCCCCACCTGTTACGCCGGCTTCCCCGGGGCAGGAGGGTCCCCAGCCGCGGCCTCTCCTCCGGGACTGAGCCCCAGGGAGACAGTGGACACCAGGGTCTTCCGAGCCAGGCCAAGAGCACTCCTGGCGTCTTGTGTAGTCCCCGAGAGTGCCTGGCCCGGCCCACTAAGGACCATCCGGGAAGCCAAGGAGGGAAGAGGTTGCAGCTGGAGTCCAATGGGTTTACTGGGGGGTGGGGTGGGGGTCGCTCGGTGGAAGAGCTCCAGCCCAGCTGTGACTCCAAGCTGATTCACTCAAAAATCTAGTCATGGGCGCTATGGGACTGTGGGGGATGGGGGTCCCACATCAGCTCCCCCAAGGCAAAAGCAGCCCCTCCTCGGTGCAACACTGGTGGGAGTTCTCCCGGGCCTCTGAGCTAGGGTCTGGCTTTTCCCCAGCATTACATGTGTCTCTGAAAGCTGAGGTTGGGAGTTCTCAGTGCCAGCCTGGGAACAGACATCTGGTTTCACTTCAGGGAGCCCATCAACAGAGGTGGATCAAGCCCTGGCTAGGAACACTGCCTCCTGTGTGTATTCTAGGCCTGGACCCCCAAGCATAGAGGCTGGGGAGCCTCACCTTCTGCTGTCCTGCAGGCTTCAGAAAACTGGGTGGGCATAATTTATTGAAGTCTGCAGAGCTGTGCCCTGGATTTACTCCCTTGCCCAGTTCCTGGCACTTTGTGCGAGGATCCAGGCTGACTAGCCTCTGGGAAGGTTCTAACTAGGACCGCAGTCAGCCCCCTGGGATCCAGAACCATCCTGAGAGGAAAGGATAGGAAGCAGTTCCCATTTCCAGCCAGAAAAGCCTGCAGCCAGGGGAGTGAGCAAATGGATGAAGCTTGTGCCTGAGCTGCAAGCCATACTCCAGGTGCCATAGAGGCCCAGGGGATGATATATAGCCAAGAGGGGAGAAACCCAATCATTTTGGCTATCTTGAAACCCACCAGAAAGAATAAAACAAACCAGAAGCCCCATCTCCTGTTAGTCAACTCCACCGTGTTTTCACAATACTGTTTCAGCTGGGAGTGGTGCAGTGGGAACCATGCCGAGTCTGTGGGCTCAGCCACAGGTGTCCTAGCTGGGGAGAGGCTCACATGAGCTGGGTCCTAGATACAGCTTTCTCAACTGATCCTGGGGGCTGGCCACACCCAGCTCACTGTGACATACTAACAAAGTGTGGATAGGAGGCCTGAAGTTTGCAATGCTGAGGAAGTGGGTATGAGGTTGAGGCAGGAGGTTTGCATCTCATCGAGCTAAGAGCATGAGAATTGTGGCTCTCATCGGTGAGGAAACACTGAGCAAGACCACCCTCTACCTGGTACCCAAGGCTGTGCACCCTCTGAGTTCTGACAACCAGATCCCTTAGAATAAGCCTAAGTGATTCAAGCCAGATGGTTCATTATGGCTTTAGCCAGGGTTATGCTATTTGCTGCTCTAATTATTGGATTATCTGTTCGGACAAAAAGAAATGAGGGCGGTTGCTCTGTTGTCCAAGCAGAGGATAAAAAAACAGCCTGTTTGCTTAGCCCTGTTCTCCTCTTTAAAAACCCCTCCTTTGCTGGTTACTGCAAAGTGTTCAAGCATGGGCACATGAACACACACACACACACATACACACACACACACACACACACACACACACACACACCCTCTTCATTCCCTGCTGAGCTTAGAAGGCCAGTGAAGGAAACACAGCATCACTCTAGGCCTCTGTTCCCGATGTCCCAAGCTACCTGCTGCCCATCTGCAGAGGGAGCCCAGACCCTGAAGCTGCAGTGACTAAGAGGCTTTGGGTTGCAAGTACCATGAAATCAATTCAGAGAAGCTCGGCCCATCCGGAAAGCAAAGGTCCTGCTGCAGACACCAGGGTACACTGGAGCAGCCCCCAGCAGCCCTGGTGACAAGGCTTCTGTCAGTCCTTCCACTCAGCCAGCTCTTTCCTCTTGGGCTGAAAATCAGGGCAGATTTCCTATTACCAAGGGCAGATGGGTGAGGAACATCAGATGTAAAACATGGTCACAGAGATGTTCTTACTGTCCAACAGGACAACCCTCATGATCCAGGGTGGCTGCTGTGGGTCCAGGCATCACAAATAACAATAAGGTCCTAGATTTGATTTTAAAAAACCGTTTTCTACTGTCATGTCTAGGATCCAGAAAATCTCTCCTAGAAGTTCCCAGGAGACCTGTCCTTTTGTCTCATTGGCTAGAATTGCATCACATGTCTATGTTCCCAAATGACTCACTCAGCTAGGTCAGGACAGGTGCCCACAGAGGTCTGGAGCAAGGGTGAATTGGGGAACCATTGTTGGGTCTGCGTGGAAGGTTCTCCTGGGCATGGGCAGACCCTAGTTACTGGTTTATTTGGCCTCTTCCTTCACCCAGAACTTCTGTGGGCCTCAGTATTGTTCTGGCCAGATGTCCATCATATTCTTCCACATTCAACAGTGCAATACCAACTGTGTGTCAGGCACCGTACAGGGGGCACAGAGGGACAAGCGTGGGCTGGACCACACACAGCCTCTGGTCTTGGGATGCTAACAGAAACCCAGCAAAAGGACCAGCAGTGAGGAATAAGGAGGCAAACATCCACAGAGGCCACTGCTCTGAAGCTGGGAAGAAGGGGAAAGAAGGCTAGCAGAGTGAAAGGGGGTATTGGGGCCAATAAAGGAACCAACGTGTAAGAAACACAGACAAGGGAAGAGTGATGAGGTCAAAGTGAGTGTATAGGAAGACTTCCATGCCAAACCAAGGAGGCCAAATCTTGTCTTGGATGCAATGAATTTTTGGATGGCTTGAAGCAAGGGAATAGAGATGCCCAAAGTCTGAGCTCTGTCTCTAGGCTCTGTGAAGCAGACATGTATCACCTAGTCCTCTGCATCCTCCCCCACGGTGCCGACCAAGTGCCGTGCCTCGGTTTCCTCACCTATGGAGTGCTTTCAAATCAGCCTCGATAGTTTTCTGTGACTTCTTATCAATTAAAAATTGGTAAGAAAATTTTAATTGTGCCTGTGTGGTGTGAATGGGTGCACGTGTGCCGCAGCACACACGCAGAGGTCAGAGGACAACTTTGTGGAGTTGGGGCTTCCGCTTTTATGTGTATCTCAGGGATTGAACTCAGGTCATCAGGCTTGCAAAAGCAAGTACCTTTACTCACTGAGCCATCCACGGGCTCCGGGGAAACTGTTTTAGAGGCTGAAGTTTTTCTCCCAAAGACAAAACAAAAAGGACTGATTTCTGATTCCCAGGGGTGAATGGGCCAAGCGAGTTCAAGTGCAGACCAAGGCCATGGCCAGCTGCCTGTCTGCACAGGCCCTGCTGGGGAACACTCAGCCTTGGAGGAAGCAACAGGGGCCTGAGCTTGATTCTTTCTGAATTAGCCCCATTAAAGCGCTATAATTATCAGCAAGCCGGTGACAACTCTCAGAGGCCCATTAGTGACCAACCTTCATTATTTTTCCAAAGATGTAAACTTTCATCAACGCACATGATCTGAGTGGCTCTGAGGGCAGGGCCCTCAGGATCCTGGGGCTCACAGAAAGGCACTCTCTCTTGTCCTTTGAGCCTGCTATTGCCTCCGCCTGAGGCACTGTCACCCTGCTCAGGCCCTTCAGATTAGCAGTGAATCCCTGCCCAATTGCTGAGACAAGAACCCTGTTCATGTGAGGTAAGGGCTCTCCTGCTGAGCCCTGCCCCCAGCCCCTTTCCTTTTTTCCCCCCTAGCTTCAGCTTCAGGACTTAAGTTACACAAAATGGTAAAGAAAACCTTTCAGGAAGCCATGAGGCTTTTAAGGCAGACTCCCCAGTTCTGCTGGGCCACCCACAGATGGCCAACTCCCCTCTCTGAGCCTCCTCTCTTCACATGGAAAGGGTGAATTTTGGGTCATGTGTTCCCTAAGACAGCTCCTCCACGCATGCAGTTTCTCAAAATGGTGACCAAGCTTCTAATGGCAAGGTAGAATTTCTTTTTGGACTTCAGTGGCACTAGACATTCATCAGTCCTTTCCTGGTCACACACTGAGTAACACTGTTCTTTGCTGGTGGTGGTAACAGATGTCAGTGTCCCAAGACGCATGCTCCCTGACTTGTCTTCTGGGGTTGGGACACAGGCTGACATCACAGAGTGTGTGCCGTAACATGGGGTATCACACCAAAGCCTTCCTGCTGGGAAGTGACTGAACAGCAAAGCCATTTGAGTGGCTCCACCATGAGCACTGACCATCTGCTGCTTGCCGGTCCCCCAGGTGCCTGAGGCAGTGTCCTCAGGGTGAGGTCATCAGGAGCGGGTAGCCTGAACTGGACACCATGCAAACTGACTATCATGTGAAGCCATCAGCTCTGCAGAATGATATTGCAGAAGCTCGGCTGGGTGGCTGCAGTAAAGGCGATGGTGCTTTTCAGCATCCCTACCCTCAGGATACTCACCTGCAACATCCTCATCCTCGGTATCTTCATCCATGGTATCCTCACCTGCAGCATCCACACTCTCAGCATCTTCTCCTGCAGCATCCTAACCCTGAAGATACTCACCAGTAGCTTCCTCACCCTCAGTATCTTCACTCACAACATCTTTTCCTCAGCATCCTCAGTTCTGGTATCCTCTCATCTGTAGCATCCTCACCAACAGCATCATCACTTACTCACCTGTTGGGAGAGAGGATGCTGTAGCAAAGGCCCCAGTGTGGTCATTGCTAACGCATGCATTTTCCACTAGGGGAACATACTCGCAGCTTACTCCAGACCTAGGGACTCTTAGTCTGAACACAATTCTGTTATTGCCTGGTTTACAAAAGAAAGAGCTGTTTGTGCTAGCAGAGGTAGGAGTAAAGGAAAGAGGAAGCAAAGTGCCCTGGTGGAGCAATCAACTCACATCCTCTGTTTGGCTGTGAATATGACCCACAGCAGAATCCTTGTAGTCATAACAATGACTCCACTTATGCAGAAAAGATTAAGTGACCGCTTCTGTACCAAAGGCAGGGAGAAGGTGATCCAGTTTAGGGCAGTCCCTTCCAGAAACTCTTTAGAGGGGCAGACTCAGAGCTCTAGAAGCATCATCAGAGTGTGTCTGCTGTTCCTATGACCATCTGACAGGCCCCAAATGCCAGGAGGTAGTTATAGTTGTCTCCAGGTTGCAGATGAAGAAACTGAGGAAAGCTGTGTGAAGTCACACAGCAAAGACATGCCGAGCTGTAGCGTGCAACAGCAGATGTCCTCTTCCACACTCACAACTGCACTGTAGAAAGAGACAAGAACATCACCTTGTTGGGATGTAGGGAACCTGACACAGTTCCACATGTCTCTCAGAACAAAGAGCCCTTGATGTACCCACTTCCCTCCAGACACAAAGGCTATCATGTGGCCTGCCTTTGTTACTAAAGGCAGGCTTAGTTCAGATGCTTGTTCACTTAGAAGCCATCTAGGATCCAGCGCGGCACCCTGATGGGGACAGAGTCCCGGCCCTTCCTTTATCCCAGCATCACTTCAGCCATCAACCGAATGCCAGATGCCTATGGTTATGCTGTCCCTCCAGGTCCCTCATACTACTGGCCAACTACTATCTGTTGGTCCCTCCTGTCCCAGGTGAGGCATCACTTCCTCCAAGAAGTGTCCCCTGATGGCCCAATGCACACTGTGGCTCAGAGTCCCTTTTGAAGCTCTCATGGCTCTTGGCTCACCAGATAATGTTGTGACCTGTCCAGCAGTTAGGAGCAAATCAGGGATTTGGAGCTATCTAAGAATGTGTATCTTGCTGTCTGGGGACTTCAAAAGTTTCCCTCACTCAGACCCTGGCTCTCTTGCTGGGAACCCTCAGGACATGGCAGGCCACAGCTGTAGCAAGTGACTGTTCCTAAGGTGGCAGCTGAACCCAGTTATTGCTGCATTCTCTGCCTGGCCCTTGGGGACTTATCGATGCTCTTGAGAGAGCAGCAGCATGAGGACCCAGCTGGCTTGTCACTGCCCACTTAGGATCTCTCAGTGCCAGGGAGACCAGGGAGCTGCAGTGTCACTTGTCACCTTGGGCTCAATCAACAGTCATCCACTCAGGCTGGTCAGGTCCTGCAGCCTCTTGGAGCCTGTCCTCTGCCTTCTCATACCACTGTGTGTTGTTGCTTGTGGGAGAGACGGGGACCCAAGCCATCTGGTTCACAATAGCACTCCTATGGGATAGGACAGGCAATGCAAAGTGAGGTTTGAAAGTCCCTCTCCCAGCCACCTATCTGGTTGTGATTGTGGGACTTAAGTGATCCACCCAGAATCCCTGAACCTTCTCATCTAACAGTGGCAGGATGTTGTCCTTCTGAGGGTTGAGTGTTTCATTGGGAGAGATAGATAAAGAGGTTGTTACATTGTAGCTGCTCTGTTCTCAGCAGCCATTGAGCAGGATACAGTAACTTTTTTTTTTTTTTTGGCTTGCTTTAACTAATTCCAACCATTTAAAAAAAAAAAAAAAAAAAAAGATTTGCCTTTTAGTTTGTGCAGCAGCCTGAAGACAGAAGCTGGATACAGCTGGTGTCCATGGGGGCAGAGACTGTTGTGTTGGGGTTTGTGTCAGGGATTGTCACCTGTGCACCATAGAGCACCAGGAAACCAGCTCCTCCACAGACTCATGTTCACATAATCTTTTTTAAATTGTGTATTTGCTTATATTTATTTTATGCATATGGTTATTATGTCTGCATGTATGCCTGTGCACCAGTGTAATCCTAGTGCCCACAGAAGCCAGAAGTGAGAGTCAGGTCCCCTGGAACAAGAGTTACAGGTGGTTGTGAGCCACTATGTGGGTGCTGGGAATAGAATCTGGGACCTCTGGAAGATCATCCAGCGCTCTTAACCATTGAGCTGCCTCTCCAGCCCCCCATGTTCACATATTCTGAGGACTGTGATAGACATATTTACCTTATGGTTCTTCCTCCAAATAAATTGTATTTATTTATATGTCTATTTTTGAGACAGGATCTCACTTTGTAGCTCTGGCTAACCTGGCTAACCTGGAACTCACTTTGTAGACTAAGATGGCTAATCTGGAACTCACTTTGTAGGCCAGGTTGCCCTCAAACTCTGCCTCCCAAGTGCTGGGACTAAAAGAAGACACCACCAAATAAATCTTTTTTTGTTGTTGTTGTTTTTTGTTTTTTTTGTTGTTGTTGTTTTTCAAGACAGGGTTTGTAGCTTTGGAGCCTGTCCTGGCACATGCTCTGGAGACCAGGCTGGCCTCGAACTCACAGAGATCTGCCTGCCTCTGCCTCTCCGGTGCTGGGATTAAAGGCGTGCGCCACCAACGCCCGGCCAAATAAATCTTTTAATCTTGAGAGCAATGTGACTGTTGGGCCAGCGAGATGATACCGCTGGCAGTTCTGGTGACCCTAGTTAAAGCTCCATACCCAACATGACTCCTGCAAGCTGTCCTCTGGCCTCCACATGCATATCCTGGCATGTGTATGTGCACACACATGTGCAAATAAGCACACATAGAGTAATGATAACGCAGCCGCCAGGGGAGGGTGCTGCTCCAGCCATACAGCTGCTGCATGACCCTCGTCTCCTTCTCCCATAGCTGCCCTGGGTACGCTGGACTTCAGTCTGCTCTATGACCAGGAGAACAACGCACTGCACTGCACCATCAGCAAGGCCAAGGTAGGCCCTGCGCCAGCCGAGCTCAAGCCTCGGGAAGGGGGCAGGGTTCTGCCAATCCTTTCTGTTCAGGGTTCCTGGTGTCCCTGCTATGAGGGGTGCAGCAGCCACTTCCAAGAGTGGTCCTACCCAGGAAAGCATTTGGGGAAAGGAGTTTCAGAAAGAGACAGGGCAGGAATTGCAGAGGGCCAGGCAGCATTTGGAGCCTGGGAGGGGTCATTGAAGAAGCGGGGAAGTAGAGACCTATCTTGCAGTGTGTGTGGGGGGGAGGGATTGATTGGATGGATGCTACCATCTCTGGGTCTCCCCACTCCAAAGTTCTGACCCCTAAGGCTCCCTGAAGCCCCTAAGCAACTACTATGCTGAAAGTTTAGGTGCCACTAAAGAGGAGGCTCCAGGCAGGGTGGGCGCCATTGAGCCTGAGCATTAGAGGCCCTGTGAGCCTTGCTGAGGGGAGTCATGAACATCTGCAGACCCAGTGTGACCTGGTCGGGTCCTATCCCCTGTTCTCCTCTGCGGATCTGCTCTTGAACCTGTGTCTGTTCCATGTTCTCAACCGTATTGTTCCCTTCACACTGCTCCCTCTGGGAGGAAGGTGCCAAAGTTGATGTTTTCCAGAAAGGTAAGGGCCTATGTGGCCAGTAGAGACCCTAGTAGGGCTGTGGAAGGCCTGAGCCAGCCCAGCACACATAGAGTAGCTTCCAAGTGCTGCCAGGCCTAGGCCTCACCCAGCAACCCTCACCTGCAGCATCTTTCTGTGCTTGTTCCCACCCTACCACTGAGGGGCTGCCCTCGGCGCTGTGCCTGCCTAGAGGGACAACCCATGACATACCTGGGTCACTCATGCCGATGGCCGTGGGCAAGTGTGAGAACTGTCTACATTGGGCTTGGGGCCCAGGTTGGGAACTTGAAGTCCCAGTCACCAGTCACTTCACCCTGTGTCTCTGCCCACTCCACTGGCACCGTTAGGCTGTGATAGCCTAGAGAACAGAGAGGAGCTCCTGGTGACTCTAGCCTGGAGAGGTGGAGACAGGCTGCAGGACCAGGCAGAGCCCGCCCCCACCTCCTGGCTTAGCAGAGCTTGTCCTTGCTTGGGGACCAGCTGTCAGACCACTCTAGTGGAGCCCAGCTATTCCTCCCCATCTCAAAGCCTGAATTTCCTGCTGCCTTTTCCCTGCTTCAAGTGTAGAGTGTGTGTATATATGTCTGTCTGTCTGTCTGCCTTTCTGTCTGTGTGCACAGATTTACATGGGTACTGGTGTATGCAGAGGTGGTAGCCCTGTTCTTCCTCTGTAAATGTCTACAAAAAAAGGGGACAGTCCTGAGAAATATTGTGGCCCCAAAGGGGATCCAGAGTGTAAGCAGAAGAGGAGCTCACACAGAGCCTCTTGGGGAATCCATGGAATATGGACTTCCCAGGCTGCACGCTCACCTGGTGTCTTAACTAATTTTCTGTTGCTGTGATAAAACACTGACCACAAGCGACCTGGGAAGGGAAAGGTTTATTTCATCTTCCTGCTTGTAGTTTATCATCCAGAGAAGCTGGGGCAGGTACCTGGAGGCAGGAGCCTATGCAGAGGCCATGGAGGGGTGCTGCTCCTCCTGGCTTGCTCAGCCTACTTGCTGTTTCTTAGTTTTTTGTTTGGTTGGATTGTTTGTTTGTTTGTTTGTTTTTGTCTTTTGAGACAGGGTTTTTCTGTGTAGCTCTATAGACCAGGCTGGCCTCGAACTCACAGAGATCCACCTGCCTCTGCCTCCCAAGTGCTGGGATTGAAGGTGTGCGCCACCACTGCCCAGAGTTACTTCTTAATTGTGATAAAATATTAAAAATGTGAAACTTAGCAGCAGAATGCTGAGCCCACTCAAATGGCTGTATTACATCACCACTGTCCAGCCTTTTCAGATTGCCAAACTGAAACTCCTTTCCTGTCTCCCCTTGCCTCTCCCTGCCTAGCCCAAGCTGCCCATCCTCACTGTCTCCAGGGACCTTGTAGGTACAAAGTCATGCAGTTTCTGTCCCTGTGCACAATCTCACCAGCTGCTGTCTGTCCCTCTTCTTCAGGCCGAGCACTGTCAAAGAGTCAAAGCTCAGTTTTGACTATCCAGAAGGTTCCAGTCCCAAATGCCTAAAGAACAGTAACGTCTGGACAGTGCAGGACCATAAGAACTTGGATTGAGGGGAGTCTATTGTACTTCCTGTCCCCTCAGTGCTAGTAGGACCATCCCATACAGCCCCTGCTCTGCCCCTCTCTGAGACGGTGGCATCTGTCTTTATCTTTTGGAAACACAATAAGCTGATAGGATCTTTCCTACTTCTGGGTGAACTCAGCCTCCTGCCCCCTCTCCTGGATTCAGTCAGCTCCTGGGAGCTGTGCATATGGGCTTGGGGGAGACCTTGCCATGCTGCAGGGCAGACCCCAGACTCAAGGCCAGCAAGGCTGCTTGAGCCAGGGAGTGCCAGTGGATGCAACTATCTACAGGTGGACCTAGGGCACCACCTCCAAACAGTGCCCGGAAAAACCCCAGAGCCACAGCCTTTGGAACAGTCACTCAGCCTCTGGCTGAGCCCAGTGTGTGGCCCTCTGGTATGTCCAAGGACCTGCCAGGTAGAAGGGTATGGAAGTAACAGCAGGGACCATATCACAGGCTGGGGATCCAAAGGGCAGAGCAGGTGTCATTGCTATCCTAGCATGGCAGCTACCCCCTGCCCTAGCCAGCCCTTGTGGATTTCCCAGGGCCTCAGAAGTGAGACCCACACAATCTCTGGCTAATCTCCTGGGACAAAGACCTACAAGGGAAAAGAAACAGTGAAAACACTGTAAACATGACAAGTGTGCAAGAATTGTAGAAATAAAACTGGAGGCCTCAATTATACCCACTCAGGCTGGGCCACCAGATTCCCCCAGGACACTACTCTTTACTCCCTAAAGGAGCTAGCAGGGGAAAGCTAGCTGGGCGTGAAAGGCCACTGTCACCAAAGCACACACACACTCCCTCCAGGTCAAGCCCCAGTAGCTCTGGGCCTGGCTTAAATCCTCACCCTTACCCCAGCTACTTCCCTGGCATCTTAGAGGGAAGTTGTACCCCTTAACCCTGCAGATGTGGGAATGGTTACCTCTGCCTGTGATAAAGCTGAGATGGTGAAGTGCCTGGTCCACTAACTAGGACGTGCCTGAGCTGTGCTGACTCCCAAACCTGGGCCTGGGCCCAAGCAGAAGAGAAATAATGGGTGGGTGCCCCACCTGGAAGCTCCTCCAAGCCCTGGGAGAAAGGTTTGGGGCACCTGGCCAGAAGCTGAGCCATCCCACTCACCCATCTGGAATGTAGGCCATGTACACCTCTGCTGCCTCCCCAGCCCCTGTGGGCCCACACCACTGAAAGGAGTAAACACAATTCCCAGAAGGTTAGCTGAGGCCCTTGCTGGTCCCCCTCCCCTGAGCTGTCCATTCCTGTGCTGGCAACTGAAATCAAAGTTAGCAAGGGGTGCCATCTTGTGGAAGGGCCCTCCATGGCAGGCAGCCTGTGACTTCTAGGGACATCAACTAGCAAATGCAGTCTTGACTGGTCTTCCAGCCTTGTAACAAAGTGCTTTCCCAGCTACCACAAGGAGCATGAGGATGAGTATTTGGCAAACCATGGAGATTTGGGGTCAGAAAAGGAAGACGGGTCAAGGAGTGGTGTCCAGAAAGTGGGAAGAGAGACCAGACTCACCAAGTTTAGAGTGAGGTGTGTCAGTTGTCTGGGTTCAGTTGTCAAGAAGGTAGAAAGTGAAAGGGCCTGGGGATAACATGTGGGGGAGGGGAGCTTATTCCAGCAGTGTTTGGTCCCTGGAGATGTCAGGGAGGAGGCCCAGTCAGCAGGCCCTTTGTCTCCTTGCTCTCAACTCTCATCCTTTCTGGTCTCTGCTCAGGGCCTGAAGCCAATGGACCACAATGGACTGGCTGATCCCTACGTCAAACTACACCTGCTGCCTGGAGCCAGCAAGGTGAGGGTTTATGCCCCAAACATGGCCTGACTTGGCACTCATGCCTCCCTGGGATCTCATGAGTCCATTACCTATCTTCTACGTGGGCCCCAGAGAATGTATCCAGGTTACATTTATAATAACATCCCTACCCCATGCAGAACCACCCCACAGTCATCACCTCTACCCTGCTGTTGTCACCGGGGCCTGGGATCAGGATACTGCTCACATTAGCTTTCTGTGACCACCTCAACAAATTCCCACAGCTTAGCCATTTAAACACACCATCGTCTCCTTGTTCCATTGGTCAGCAACCAGCAAGACAGGTTGCACTGGCTGGACCAGAAGTCAAGATGCCAGCCCGTCCATTCTGGGGACAGTCATTTTCTTTCCTTTCTAACTAGAGGCTGCCTACTTCAGGACCTGTGTCTGAAGTTAGCTGAGCTCCCCGCTGTGCTGCTGGTCCTGTCTCTCTTGGCTATCTTTTGCTATCAAAGACCTCTGTTACTAAAGGGGCCACTCACATGCCTCCAATAAGCTTGCTGTTTTTAAATTAGCTAATTAACACTGTCAGTTTCAAGTTCTGCCTCAGGTCCCCTCCACTGGGTCGGATAGTGTTTCCATGGGTGGAGGGAGCAGGCTGGCCAGCTTTAGGTCACACTCATTCAGGACCAATAAGATAACTCTATTTTTCCAGGCAAATAAACTCAGAACAAAAACTCTGAGGAACACTCTGAACCCCACATGGAACGAGACCCTCACTTATTACGGGATCACGGATGAGGACATGATCCGAAAGACCCTGAGGTGGGTGAGGGCCCCTGTGCCTACACCCCACCCGGGAACACCCCACCACTTATGAATTCCCACTGACTGTGGAAGCCAATCGCCCCCAGGATCTCCGTGTGTGATGAGGACAAATTCCGCCACAATGAGTTCATCGGTGAGACTCGAGTGCCCCTGAAGAAGCTGAAGCCCAACCATACCAAGACGTTCAGTATCTGCCTGGAGAAGCAGCTGCCGGTGAGTGGGGGGAAGGCTCCGGCACCCCAGCCAAATGAGAGTTTACTGAGCGTCTACTATGTGCCGATGCTATGTTCTCGCACCATTGCAGGGACATGGAAGGGACTTGCTGCCTGTTGATGGCACAGGAGCAGGGTTAATTTGTGGAACAAAGAGCACAGTGGAGGGGGCAAGCCTAGGAGGGACGTCACAGAAGTGGCAGGGAATTATTTCACCTTCCATGGAAGTTGCTAAGCCAAGGTAACAATTCCAGCAGTGCTGGGGTTAAGTCTAAGACCTTGTGTGTGTAAGTAAGCACTCTTCCACTGAGCTATATCCTCAGACCTTTTAAATTTTACTTTTCCAAATTGTAAATTTGTGCGTTTGTGCCAAGCGCAGTGGATAGATGTGTGAATGTATAGGCCTGCATTCAACACGGAGTGTCTTCCTCAATTGCTCTCCACCTCATTCTTTGAGACAGGGTCTCCCACTGAACCCAGTGCTCACTAACTGGTCTAGTTAGACAGTGAGCTAGGATTCTCCTGTTTCCCCCAGTGATGGGGTTACAGATTTGTGCCACCATGCCCACCTTTCCAATGACGCTGGGAATCCAAACTTACACTTGACTGAGCCATCTCCCCACCCCCTTTAAATTTTCATAGGAAAGAGTCTTGCTGAATTCCCCAGACTGGACTTGAACTTGCTCTGTAGCCCAGATTGGCAGTGAACTCTTGAGCCTCCTGTCTCAACTTCCTCAGTAGCTAAGAGTACAGGCCTGTGCCACAAAGCAGGGCATGGCGGCTCCCTGCCTGCTGGGCTCAGAATGGCCAGAAGCAAAGAGAGGAGGGAGGGAAGGGCTGGAGCCAAGAACCTGATAGAATGGGGGCTGGATGGGAACAAAGGCCTGCTGCAGGGCAGTTCCAGGTCTGGGGCCTGGGAGCCCAGATGGAGGAGGGAGCCATTCACTAGGCACAACTCAATTGGAACTTGTTAGGTGGGGAGTGCCATGAGATGCCCGGAGGGCAATTCTTTCCTAGACATTGTAATTGTTCAGCAAGAAGTCGGCACTAATTTGCCCTCCCAGAGTCTTGGTTTCTGCTTTCCTCCAATCCCTCTTGTGCCCACCTTCTCTCCTTACCTCTCCTTTACCTGGCTTATAGGGGCTGAAGGGCAGAGTCTAAGGGAGCCCCAGTGCTCAGGGCCAAGAGACAGGCTAAGCCCTCCACCACCTAATGCTCTGGACATGACTGCCTCCCCAAACCCTGAGCCAAGGGAACCCCTGTACACCAGGCTTGGCAGGGGCTGGAGCCTGGGACATGGCCACTCAGCAAACTAGGCCTAAGCCCAGCCCTAAGAATCCACTCTGTGGCTGAGACACTGCCTTTGTGCGAGCCTTTCTCAGGCTATATTCTCATGTCACTCTCTCTGCTCAGGTGCAGGAGTAGTGGTAGAATCTTTGCTGATACGTTAATCACTTGCCAGGGGTGACCCAAATTTTCCAAATGGCCCACTCCCCCCCCCCACCATGAAGGCACTACCAGCTCCTATGGTGCTTTGTTGTCCGTGAGTTCTGACCTCAGATATAAACAAGACTGGCAGGGCGTAGTGATACACACCTTTAATCCCAGCTCTTGAGAGGCAGAAGCAAGTGGATCTGAGTTCAAGGCCAGCCAAGTCCTGAGTGAGTTTCAGGACAACCAGGGCTACACAGAGAAACCTTGTCTTGAAAAACAAACAAACAAAAACAAAAAACCCAAGACTCTCTGTGAACATGAATGCATAAATGAGTAGGGAGTGTATGTACACATGTGCACACTGTGTGTAAGTGTGTGTACACATGTGTACACTGCGTGTAAGTGTGTGTACATGTGTGCACACTGTGTGAGTGTGTACACACGTGCACACTGTGTGTAAGTGTGTGTACATGTGTGTGAATTTGGATGCATGTGTATTGTGAGTATTCTTGAGGCATACTTTGGCCACTGAATTTACCATGTTGCTCATTGGCCAGCTTAGAGATACACAGTGACCACAGGGGTGACATTTGGGATAGCCACTCTGGTTGTAAGGACGCATTTTGGTGGTTTTAGATTTTATATTCTACATTACTTGTTCTATGCAAATAGCTGGTTCAGTGGTGGTCAAATGAAACAGTCTAAAGTATGATCATGTCATCTGCCTTTGGAACCATCCCTGCTCATATATACTCCATGCAGAGCCCAGAATCACACACCTGCACCATTGGTCATGACCGTCTGAGCATTGGGTTGAGAAGGATACCAAGGCTGTATTTGAATTCAGGGTGAACGCTGGGATCAGTTAGCCATGAAATTCGGAGAAAGGCCTGTGGGTCACAGGCATCCCTTCCTCACCTCACAGGACTGTCATCTCCAAGAAGGTTTGGACCTGGCCCCATGGGGGCTTGGGTCAGTCCCAAGCAGAGCACAGCTGCAGACAAAGGCTGAGCCTATAAAAGAAGAGCCTGACAGATCATGAGAAGGGTCCCTCGGGGGACATGGGCTCCTAACTGCATGTCTGGATGACTTTAGGGGACAGTGGGAAATGGAGGAGACTCCAGCTGTCAGGACATGGAGAGATGGGATGTGGAAGCCTAGAGCTGAAGTCTCACCCTGAGGTGGGAGGGGCTGGGCATCTTCCCACAGGGCTCCCAGCCAAGGCGCCCGGAAGATAGCAAAGCTCTGTCTTTTAGGCTGTTGGGAGGGGGGCACCCACCCTGCAAAATTTCTTCGAGTGGGTGAAACTGAGCAAAGACATGGAGGAGGGCACCAGCTCAGAGCTGAAGTCTACAGAGAAGGCTTGAGCGTGAAGAAGGCAGATCAGGCTGGGGGTCAGATTTCCTACCCTGGTGGCAAATGCATCAGGCCCTGCAGACCAGGCCATCTCTGTCACTGCCACTCACTTCTCCTGCTGTAGGCAAAAACAGTTTCTGGAGAGATGTAAAATGGGTTCTATAGATCTCTGTGTGCCCAAGCCTAGCTGAGCATCAGCAAGTAGACACTAGAGGAGTGAGATTATGGACAGCCTCACTGCTTCCAAGAAGGTGGAAGCAGACAAAGACAGCAGAGTGACCACCCTCTCCTACAGGTGGACAAGGCAGAGGACAAGTCCCTGGAGGAGCGAGGCCGCATCCTCATCTCACTCAAGTACAGCTCCCAGAAGCAGGGCCTGCTGGTGGGCATTGTACGATGTGCACACCTGGCCGCCATGGACGCTAACGGCTACTCGGATCCCTATGTGAAAACGTGAGTGTGCACCCAGGCCTGTGCCTGGCTCCCCTGCTCACCAGGAAGAACTAGAGTGCTACGTGGCTGGAGCCCAGCATGACAAACACTTAAGAGGGCTGCCTTGGAGCAATGGGTTCACCAGGGTGTTTTCTTCCATGTGCCTTTTGTGACTCTGGAGTTAAGTGCAGCCATTCCGTTTCATAGGTGGGGAAACTGAAGTCTGCAGAAGGATCACCCACCTGGAGAGAGAATAGTCATCTCTTTTTGGTGACAAGGGACATGGTCACATGTATTCCAGGCTGCCTTTGAATTTGCTGTGTAGCCAAGGATGACCTTGAACTCCAGATCCTGCTGCCCCTGCCTCCTGACCACTGCCTTTGAAGGTGTGAACCACCACACATGAGTGTGGGTACCAGAGAGCAAACCTAGGGCCTAGGGATGCAGGTCACTGGTGATCCAGGCTCACAAGCAAGTTAAAGGAGGAGGCAGGGCCAGTGCCAGGAGACTAGGGGAGCTGGCAAGAGACCTTTGCCAAGTCTTCCTGTGTGTGGCCAGCCCTGTGTCTACCCTCCCTACCACTGACAGTAGAACTCGGGACAGGCTAGGGTTTGTTACCAGTGGCCTGGGCCCTGCAAGAGTAGACCTGGCTGGGTTAGGCTGCACTCAGAGATCTAAGAGGCAGGCAGAAGTGGGTGGCCTTTTGGAGAAGGGGACAGGTACCACAGAACCCACCCTCAGTGCTTGGAGCTCTTCACAAATGGTGTGTCATCCAAAGTCATGGGGACACTCTCCAGAGAGGAGCCTTGGGGAAGAATTCAGCTTGACTCACAGTTCCTGTAACTTCAGTTCCAGGGGCTCTGACACCATCTTCTGGTCACAGAGGGCACCGGGTATATACATGGTGCACACACACACACACATATGCAGGTACTCACATAAACACACCAAGTTTAAAAATCTTCTGAGCATGTACAGACTTTTTCTTGTCATTATTCCCTAAGCAACAGATTAATGGCCACGTATGCAGCGTTTCAATGGCTTACGTATTACACTTGACCTAATGACAACTCAGAAGTCCACGACAGGCTGTGGCAGGGTCTGTGCAGATGCCAGCTCATTTAATGTAAGGACTTGGGCATCTACAGATGTGCCCTGCATTCCTTCTTCCACAGACACTGAGGGCCACTGCACTTCCTAAACCATGCAGGGCATTCCTGAGTGGAGACAGGGAGGCGTGGAGCAGCAGGATTGGAAGGTCAGCGAGTTTGTCACCTCCACCTGTCACACTACATTTCTCTTCAGACAGAAATGAGATGCGGAACCAACATGGCATGAACATTCTAAATCGTGTTCAGTGTCAATCTGCTGGGTGAACTCCAACTCCAGGTCATGTGAAGGGAGACCCAGAACCTGGGATTTCCCTTTGTGCTAACTTGGGCAGGCAAACTGACTGAAGCCCTAGCAGGATGCTTTCACAGCTCGGGGCTCCTCCCTGCCACTGGGATCCTGTCAATACTTGTTACCTATCTCTGAGTAATGACAAGGAAAGGCTAGAGAGGGTCAGTTCAGGTAAAGTTTCTACCTTTCTTTTCTTTTTTTAAAAGATTTTATTTATTTATTATGTATACAACATTCTGCTTCTGTGTATATCTGCACACCAGAAGAAGGCACCAGATCTCATAACGGATGGTTGTGAGCCACCATGTGGTTGCTGGGAATTGAACTAGGACCTCTGGAAGAGCAGTCGGCACTCTTAACCTCTGAGCCATCTCTCCAGTCCTCTTCCTTTCTTTTCTTTGGGGGGTGGAGAGTACTCCAGGCAGGCCATGAACCTGTAATCTTCCTGCCTCTACCTTCCGAGAAAAGGAATTCCAGGAATGTACCACCAAATCCAACTCTCAGTTGACTGAATCTAAGGGTCTAGGACCAGCGGGTACAGAAAGCCAGCTGTTTTGCTCTTGCCCCAGAAGTTCCTTAGCTCCGGGCATCTGTCTGGCCTATTGTTTGTCTATGACAGTAGAATCACCTCTCCCAGATTTCACATGAAACATCAGATGGATTCTGCCTTAGGCCGGGCTTCACCTGCAATGAGTGATTTGTCCAAGGTTTACCCACACAGTGTCTACACTGGAGACTCCATCTTTGATACAGCTGCATAGCTTTCGGCGTGTATGTAAAGCATGGGTTCGTTGTTAATCAGTTTGCCACTTAAAGGGCATGTAGGATGTTTAAATTTTGGATGATTGTGTGTAAAGTTGTCATTAACATATAATTTGTAAGCCGGGCAAGGCTGTGCACACATGAAATCGCAGCACTTGGGAGGCAGAGGCAAAGGGTAGGGAGTTTAAGGCCAGCCTGGGCTACACACTGAGTACCAGGGAAGCCAGACTATACAGCAAGACTAACTATGTCACAAATAACAAATGCAAAAGTGTTTATCGCTATACATCTTCATTTCTCTCCCCTACCACCAACCTTTGTTAACATGTACTTGGCAGTCTTTAACAAGCCAGTATTTTATATCTAACAGAACCTCAACTTGAAGCTGGATGTGGTGGTCCCCTGTGTAATATCAGCACTTAGGAAGTGGAGGCGGGAGGATCAGGAGTTCAGGGTCATCCTAACCATCCTACGAGCCTGAAAACAAATGTTCATGCATGCAGAGGAGAGAGGACAACTTATAGGAGTTCTTTCTCTCCTACTATGTGTGCTCCAGGCAGAGATCAGGGGAGTGTCCACACTCACACAGGCGTGTTTGGGCAGCAAGTGTGAATCCCCTAGCTGTAGATAGACTTTTCTGTCCCACCAGCCAGTCCAAAATAACCACACAAAGACTTTTTATTAATTACTAATGTTCAGCCATTAGCTTAGGCTTGTTCCTAACTAACTCATAACTTCACCCGTTTCTATTAATTTACGTGCTGCCACGTGGCTCATGGCTTATTACCTCGTCTTATGCACATCTTGCTTCCTCTGTGTTTGGCTGGTTATTCTGCCCTTCTATTTGTTTGTTTGTTTATTGTTTTTTTGAGACAGGGTTTCTCTGTGAAACAGTCACAGAGATCTGCCTGCCTCTGCCTCCTGAGTACTGAGATTAAAGGCTTGCGCCACCACTGTCCAGCTGACTCTGCCCTTCTTCATCCCAGCAAGTTCTTTCTCTGTCTGCAAGTCCTACCTAATCTCTCCCTGCCTAGCCTTTGGCCTTTTAGCTCTTCATTAAACCAATGAGAGCAACACATCTTCACAGCATACAGAAAAAATTGTTCCACAACACCCAGCAGCCTGCCAGGCCTCCAGTAAGGATTTTTAAACAACAGCACTCAGCTTTTCCAAGGCTGAAGTTTGGCAAAAAACAAGAGGCTTGACTCTTGTTAGCATGCATTTAGACATGTTAAACTTCTAAGAATCTAGTCGTTTACTGTGCTGAGGGCCCCAGTGCCAACCACTGAGCAGAGCACACTAAGCAGAAACAAGGCACTTGTCACACAGTTGTCTGCAGGGACAGGGTGGGAGATTCTGCAAAGAGAGTTCAGAGGCCTCCTGCATCTCACACAGTTGTCTGCAGGGACAGGGTGGGAGATTCTGCAAAGAGAGTTCAGAGCCTCCTGCATCCCAGCCTGTGAAGGACCTCCCAGGCATGGAGAAAAGAGATTGAGCCTGGCTTCCAAGCAGCATTCATGCCAGCCATGTGACCTCGGGCAAGTTACTCCACTTCTCTGGGCCTAGGGTGGATTAAAACCTAAGGAGGGGCCAGGCAGTGGTGGCACACACTTTTAATCACAGCTCTCAGGAGGCAGAGGCAGGTGGATTTCTGAATTCAAGGATAGCCTGGTCTACAGAACAAGTTCCAGGATAGCCACAGGTACATTGAGAAACCCTGTCTCAGGGTAGGGGAGGAGGGGAGCCTAAGGAAGGAAGGTCATGAGCTCTACCATCTGCCTGGAGGAATTATTCCTGATAACTGTCAAAAGAAAATCTTCCTCAAGACTCCAACAAAGGAGTGATGCTTGCCCAGCTCAAGGGATACACTGAAAAACCAAATCTTACACCTGAGAAGAATGGAGTTTATGTGGTGTGAATTCTTAATAAATGGGGGAGGCATATTTAAGCTCTTAGCCCTTGGTGCTGGAGTTAAGAACAGTTTTGTCAAGCATTTGCCTTATATGCATGAGATCTTGGGTTCAGTGTCAAGCACTGCAATGTCCCCCATCCTCCCCACTCTACCCCCTGCTAAAACAAAACAAAACAAAACAAAAATGACAATTCCTGACAGAGGGACAAACTCTGCTTTCCAAAACTGGCTTTCCTGTAGGAGGTGTGAGCTTTGTAAAATTCAGATTTCCAGAGAAAAGATAACACCCTCTTCTGGGGACAGTGGTGTGCTTGGGTAACTAAGCAGCCACCTCAGTGTTGCCCACAGGTGGGCAGACTGGGAACTCCAGGGTTAGGACAAAGGTAGTCAGGGATGCTTCTCCAGGGCAGAGCCCCGTAGCACTATGTTAGGACCATCTGCAGTCCACAGCTCTCCCCAGCCTCTGACTGTCCCCAATTATCATTCCAGATACCTGAAGCCAGATGTAGACAAGAAATCCAAGCATAAGACCGCGGTGAAAAAGAAAACACTAAACCCAGAGTTCAATGAGGTATAGCTGGGCTGGGGGCGCTGGGCTTCATAAGGACTGGGGGACTCCCCTGGGCTGGGTGGGGGTCTGGAGGGGCCTGGTTTTCAAAGGGGGCACTGTAGGAACTGGGAAGTGGGAAGAGAGGGTGGGGAGCAGCTGCCAGAAAAGCCACCAGCCGTGGCTAAGACTCCACCAGACTGTTAGGCAATAGAGAAGCTTACGGGACTAACGAACCTTCTCGAAGGTCTTGTTGATGGAGGAAGTGATGAAAAATAGAAAGTTGAGCGGCTCCTTCTAGATGACAGGGTTGGAAGGGAGGTGTGAGGAAAATGGCAAGACTCTTTAGGTGGGATTTGAGAATTCAAGACACCCAAGCAGGTGTGGCAGGACGGCTGTGAATACAGTCAACAGAAAACCACAGACTTACTAAAATATTATGGGACTTTTTTGCAGTTTCTGTTTGGAACTCAGCTGCACAGTTCTCATGGTTGAACTTTGTAGATTAGAAGGTCATGGCACAATACCTAAAGGGAAGACAGGACAAGTGTGTGCCCAGGTCCTCAGAGCAGAGAGTGGCACCCAGACCTGGGGGTCTCGACTTCATAGAGCACCTCAGGCCTGACTCATGACCAGGGACTCAGAGGCAGAGGGGACAGCAGGTGTTTAAGAAGCAAGGCCAGACCCGGAGGACAAGCGGGAAGGATGGCAGAGATTCTGTTCTGGACAATTAATTGCAGCCAGGGATCTCACAGCACCTAGGACCAGCTTCTGGGACAGAAGGGAAGGCAGATGGAGGGTGGGACCTGCTTAGTCCCCCATCAGGCAGAAGCAGGCAGACTGGCTAGAACATCGCACACTGACCACTTCCATCCTTCAGCGCATCACAGACCTTTCTCAGCCACGTGGCTTTAACACCCTCTTCTGGCCAGCAGGAGTTCTGTTATGAGATCAAGCATGGGGACCTGGCCAAGAAGAGCCTGGAGGTCACTGTCTGGGATTATGACATTGGAAAATCCAATGATTTCATTGGTAAGGAATACAAGGGAAACACTCCTTAGTGGTGTGCCTGTGCTGGGCAGATATGGGTCCAAGAACCACTTGTCCCTAGTGAATGGGACCTCGGACACTCTCCAAAGTGTACTCATGTGTCAAGAGACAGGCCCAGAGAGGGGAGGAGGCCTGGGAACGGCTCACAGCGGTTGGTGGGGGACCTAGAGTGATGACAGTCAACACCTGGGGCTGGCTTCAGAGCCCATGTGACCACAAATTCTGGTGGGTGTGACATTGGTGCACAGTGAGCCGTGTAGCCCTTCCTTCCCTTCTCAGTCCCTAAGATGTGGGCACACTACCCCAGACTGCTCTGGTCCCTGGTAGGGGAAGAATATGACATCATACTGGGTCAGGTGGGCAGGTTGTGGCTGAAAGCCAGAAAATGTCCACCCATAACTGGGCAGGAAGGAGAGCCCAGACACTAGGTCACTGAATCCCTGGCTGCCCCTCTGGCCTCTTTCATAGGTGGAGTGGTTCTGGGCATCAATGCCAAGGGCGAGCGCCTGAAGCACTGGTTTGACTGCCTGAAGAACAAGGACAAGAGGATTGAGCGTTGGCACACACTCACCAACGAGCTCCCGGGGGCTGTGCTCAGCGACTGACTGTCCCATCTGCTGTCACCCACCCAAGCCACCCAGCCCACACAGGCCCTGCCCTGGGCTTTCTCAGCTGCCATCAAGGGCTGTGGCCCTCACAATGGGCAAGATCCAGGGTGTATGCTCGGACATAGCCACTGCAGCCCCTGCATGGAGGCCACAGGGCACCCAGTCCCCCAGTCAGAGGGACAGGAAGACACAACATTGGACCTGTTTCAACCCCCTGGGGCCTAGGAGAGCTGGAGCTGGGAGAAGACCTCAGCCTCAGCTCTGCCCAGAGGAAGGGCTGACTAGGGTGAGGACCTATTGGAAGTGAGGGATAGAACACCACAGAAGTGGGGGTGCTCTGGCTTCCTGGAGGCCACAGAGGAAGGACTATGGGTAGGCAGAACCTAGGACTGGAGGACAGACAATGTAACCAACTGGAGCTTCCAATTTACTCATGCCTGGCATTGGTGGACAGAAGAATCTGAGCTCCCAGGGTGGGGAGTCCCTGTCTAGGAGGGGATCTGGTGTACACACTGCCACAAAGGGGTAAGGCATGCAGGACCAGCCAGCTGTCTACAGGGGCTGAGGGTGCTGCTGACTGCTGGAGGGTGGAGGGCAAGAAAGGCAGCTTGGGGGGAGTCAGGGCTCAGCACAGCCTTGAAAAGCCAGCTGTGGCTCTGAAGCTAAGAGAACACCAAATACAGAGAGTAGGAGGCCTGGGGTAGGTGCCAGGGGACACAGACGGGAACCGTGGGGGGTCAAGGGTTGCTCTGGGGCAGCATAAGGTTTTTAGGCAGGAGCTGGACTTGATGTGTACAAGCACTATAGGGAAACTGAGTTGATGGTTCAAACCCAAGCTCTCCCATGTGATATTGCTCCTGTTCTCAACAGAGGTCCCTCTCCCTCAGCTTCAGGGAAAATAGTAGGGGATCCTGCTAGCATGAAAAGAAACAAGTGTTCCTCCTGCCTGCCCATCTCTCCCTTCCTCATACCCTCAGCTCAGGCTGGTGTTGGGTCCCTCAAGACTCCATGGCATCATGGACCTATCAAGGCAGTGGGTTGCCTTCAGGTATAGCAGTGGAAGACAGAGCCTTGTAGCAGTGGAAAAGAGAGCTTTGTCTGGGAGAAGGGGTGGGGGTGGGGCGTCTGGAGCCCTGGCCTTGCTTTCTGGGATAGGGCAGGACACACCTCAATCTTGATTCCCCAAATGTCTCCTGCCAACCGGGGCTCCAGGAAGACAGGAGGAACAGAGGACCAAGGAGTTGCACCATTATCTCAGAGCCCCATTTTGTTCAAGCCATCACTGGATGACAAGGCATGGGGCTTCTGAGAGGAAAGATGCCCTACCCTAAGCCCAGCACCCTCCTGTGGCTAAAAGAAGGACCCAGCTCACGACTCCAACCCCAATTGCTCACAGCCTTCCCCACTTGCCAGGGAAAATGGGTCTCTATCCCCCACAGGACCTGGCCACCTGCTGCTTAGAGACTGGGTTTCTGGCTTGCAAAGCCTTTGCCAATGTTACTGAATTAGCCTGCACGTTCTTATTGAATCTTTATCTTCTTGTGTGGTGGGTGGCTTGGTCAACCCATTTTACAAATGAAAAGGTTTTAGAGAAGTTGATAAACTTCTCAGGCCACCAAGCTGGAAGGAGCTGCAGCAAGACTTAATCCCAAGTCCTTTAACTGTTTGAGGGTGAGGACTCCTTTCCATTCTGAGTGGTGGGGCTCAATGAGGCCTGCCACCTCGACCTCTTAGAAATCATCTGTGCTATTTAGGGTTTGCCAAAAGACCACAGCCAAGCCCTGGAACTCAGCTGCCCTACCCCCAGCCTGGAGTCAAGGCTGCTGTTTTCCCAATACAGCTAGAAATGGGAGGCTCTGGAGGCCCCAAGAAGGTGTTTCAAGGCAGCTGGTTGAGCTCTGAGTAATTCGGTATTTGCCCTTTGGGGTGGCTTGTTCTGAGTGGAGCCTGACAGCCCTCCTGAAGATACACAAGTGTTTATTAGGCACAAGGTGACCGAGACCCAGCAAGAGAACAGAGCTCAGGTGGGCCAAGAACCTGGATCCCTCTGTTGCCCCTGGCAGTAAGTGGGATTGGGTCTCGAACCCCAGGGACAGATAGGGTGGGAGACAGGGCTTCAAGCCCGTTGGCTCATATGTGAGTGCCCAGGCAGGAACCCACTAAAAAGTGGTGGAATTTTCCTGGGATCCTGGGGTATTTCTAAACCTCCAGCACATTGCAGGAAGGAAAAGCCCTAGGCGGATTTCTGTGAGCTTGATGCCAGCCTGGTCTACAGAACTAGTGCCAAGACAGGCTCCAAAGCTACAAACAAACCCTGTCTGGGAAAAAGAAAAGAAAAAGGCCTCTGAGAAGTCTTACTTCTGGCCCATCAGCGTTGCAGAGGGGAATTTTGATACCAAAAACAAAGGTCATTCCAAAGTTGTGTCAATAACCAAGGCGTCTCCTGAATCGGCATCCACTTCACGTCCTGGTCTCCACCGTGCCCACCGCCATTAGCCAACCCCCACTCCCCCAACAGTCCTGTCTTCCAACCCTGCGGCGGCGACCTCCTGACCTCTAGTGGCGAGAACGGGGAGCTGCACCCTCCGCGGCCGGGGAGCCCTGGCCAAGCATGTCGGCCCTTTGTCCTCTGGCCAAGTGAACCTCCCGATGCATGGACTCTGGCTGTCGTCGACGCGGACTCGTGCTCTGCTTACGGTTTTGCTACCACGTGACGGCTGCAGAGGTGCAGCGCCACGACACAATTTTTGTACTTTCGTCTGACCTTCCCGAAGGTGTCCTTTTTAAGTCTTATTTGTTAATATTTATAATGATATATAATCCAAAGTAAATGGGAACGTTGTACTGCGATCGCACTAGCCCGGGAAACTCCTTGGAAAATCCGGAGGGCACAAGGGGAAAGGCAACTGGGGCTTACATGTCGCATGTATTCTTTTGTTTTTTGAAATGGTCTGACTTGTAAACCAGGCTAGTATCCAATTTATGGTGATCCTCCTGCCCCCCATTTACTCCTTACGAAGGTCCCGTTTGAAATAGGCTTCCAAGTTATAGATGAGGAAATCGAGGCTCAGAAGTTCTAATGTATGTGGCTGATCAGCCGCTCTTGCCACACAAGCTTTAAGACCCGAACGTGATTCCCGGAACCCAAATTTAAAAAGGCAAGATGAAGCCAGGCGGCGGTGGCAGGTAGATCACTGAGTTCCAAGGCCACAGTGGTCTAAAGATCCAGGGCAGCCAGGGCTACAGAATAACCCTGTCTCGAAAAACAAAACCCAAAACAAAAGAAACAAAAAGGGCAAGATATTGTCTGGTGTGGTGTACACGTTTAATCCTAGCACTCAAAAGATAGAGGCAGATGGCTCTTTCTTGAGTTTGAGGCCAGCCTGGTCTACACATCCAGTTTCAGAATAGCCAAGGTTACATAGTAAAGATCCCGCGCCCCCCCCCCAAAAAAAAGAAATCAGGATGTGATGTGACAAATTAATAATCCCAGCAATTCCTGGGGCCAGATGTGAAGTGGAGATGGAGACTGTGTCTCACCCAGAGCCTTCTTGCCTGAAACAAACACCTGAGAAACAAGAGTCCCTGTAGCAACAAAATGGAGGCCGAGAACCAAAAATTGTCCTCTGACCTCCACACACCTAAGCCAGCTGCATACTCACTCTCAAACTCTCTTCCTCACTTATACACACACGATAAATTCTTTAAACAATAAGCTTCTAGCTAAAATGTTTGTGCAAATCACACAGAGCTCAAGTTTAGGTCTCCGGAGACGCTGCAGCCTGGATCAGTGCTATTGGCCATCAGGTCAACAACAGCATTAACGCTAGGTACCTGGGAAAGTCATGTGACCTCCACAGATGGCTCTGATGGACTTGAGAGGAGCCCAGAGAGGGCGCTGGGGATGGAATACTTCAGGGGGGCATGGTCCAGGTGGAGAGAACAGCTGTGGCCTCTTGGAACAACGGCAGGCCTGGTATGGCTGGGGAACTTCAAGGAGCCCAGGGTGACCGAGTGGAATGGACAAGGAATAAGGGCAGCGTACCACAGACAAAGCTGCCATGACTCCATAAAAGCTGGCCAGGCATGGTGGCTATTGTGATTCTTTTGCTTAAATTAGAAATTCGAGAAATGGACTATAGAGGGCACATTAACAGGTTTATTATAGGGCGGGAGAGCGAGAGGGGGGGAGAGAATGCTGCAGGTTTAAAAGTGGGAGCTCACGCATACGCAGAGTCCCTAGGCAGCCCTGTAATGAGTGACGTAGCCATGACGTGGCCACGCAACACAGGGCTCTTTAAGTTGCCTAGGTATCTGCCTGAACCTTTCAGCTATGTCTGTACTTGAATTTGGCTGAAGATTTGCCAATCAGATCTTAAAGAAATGTATTTCATCGACTCTTCCTACTTCCACTTAGTTACCTTAGACGGCATCTCGTCTGTGGATTTGCTTCTGCTGCACTATCGGAGACCTAACCACCCATGCACTTCCCTGTGCAGTATTTTCATTGTGCCCTGTAGGTTTTGGCATGCTGTTTTGTTTTGATCCAAGTGTTGTCCACTCTCCAGTTTGTGTAGTATAGCTTTATTCCACCATGGCCAGACAGAATACAAGAAATAACCCATACATGGTAGACAAGAGATTGTTCAGTTGGTGAAGAGGTGGCTTTGCAAACACAAGACGACTTGTTTGCACGCACACGCGCGTGCGCGCGCGCGCGCACACACACACACACACACACACACACACACACACACACAGTCTCTTAAAGGAGGGGGGCTGGAAATGGTTGCG